GACATTGTAAAAGTGCATGGTGAATAAAAATTGAAAAGTTTTTTAAACTTGAAAAAATTGTTTTGAATATATGCTCTACAGCTGCAAATGACACAAAGATATGTTTTCTACATTTTGCACCGCGGCCTGCAGCACAGCCTTCTCTGTTGAAGCAATGGGCATTATCACGTGACCAAGATCCAGAGTATCAGCACGTGATTCATCTTTAGAGGCCTACATGTACATCTTCATTTTGATGACATAAGTTTTTATATCACCATTGACTTTTTTTTTTACATCGATGAATCTATTTATGAGCTTATGTGGTAAAATGTCTATTTATTTATTTTTTTTTCATTATTTATTTTGCTTCGAAGACAGCCTGAAATAAAGATGATTCAACTCAGTATTTCATCTTTGAATATCTTGACTTGCTTTCCTTGCATGGACGCTTTTAAAATTGTGAAAGAATTTTGTTAATGCAAAATTTTGCTTGCAGCCGATTTGATGTTTTGCATTAATTTTACTTGTTCCAGTTTTGTTCTGGCTCCCTGTGTCTAAGAATAAACAGTAGTTACACATCAAGGTGGGAGCAATGCTTCATCAGAAAGACAGGAGATCTCACAGCGGAGGACAGAGTGGAACTGTGTTATTTGGCCTGTAGTAAGTTAAAGACTAAAATTTTCTTTACTGGCTTGTTCACCTAACATTTGGAGTTGTTGCTAGGGCGAAATATGTTCGTCCAGTATATGCTTATAATTTTTCTAATTTTGATTTTCCCTTTTCTAGCTATTGAGACAACTGAAAAACGGATATTGTTGGATTGTTTTATCTAACGAAAATATTGAATAAGTATTGAATAAATCAAAATTCAATGTAGCTTGCTGTAATATCTTTTTCTAAATCATGCATTTACAATTTTTTTTTGCATTTTTGTACGTTGATCTAGAAGAAGCAGATGTGAATGATGTGAACATATATTTTATTTGTTTTAACTGAAAGTAAGGGATTACAATAGAAAAATTATTTTTATGCTACAAAATATGTATTTTAAAGTTTTACGAGAGCTATTGGTGTGCAAATCAGAGATTTGTCACAAAGGCATATTTTATGAAGCGTACTAGCATTGATAGCATCATTCGACTCATACTAGGCTTCAGAAGAAGCTATCTTTATCTTTTAATGAGCATCTCCCTTGGTTTAGGACATAATACTTCCTCTAAGTGCTATGCATCAAATAACGATCAACACCTTTTGGAGTCTAGAGAATTCAAGGCTTTTATAGAAGACGTCAACAGGTTGAAAAATTCTACAGGGGGAGTGCGAATGCCAGCAGGTAAAAGCAGAGGGAGAGAGAGAGAGAGAGAGGGAGAGAGAGAGGAACAGAGAGAGGGAAACAGAGGAAGAGAGTGAGGGAAACGGAGATAAAGAGATAGAAAGAGATAGAAAGACATATAGAGAGATACGGATACAGAGAAAGAGAGCGTGAGAAAGAGAGAAAGAGCGAACACAGATGAGAGAACGAGAGAGAAGGATGGAAAATTCCAATGTGTACAAAGTAAAAAACAATCCCATTAGACTGTTGTTTGTCCTTTTTTCAGGATTATTTTTCAGCTTGTTAATTAATTAGTGTCATTGGAACTTGCTGTTCTTTCAAATTCAAATAAACATGTATCCAATATGCTTTGTTAATATTCAGGCGCAGTTTGTAATGATTACGAGGGTGTTTGTGACGTATTCTCTCGATGCCGAGGAATGAGTGATGAAGGACCCTTAAGGAGATTGACAAACCTCTTGTTTAGTGAGGAAACATTGGCTAACATCAAAAACTGGATAATAGTAAGTGCAACAGTAGAGTAAAGACATTGGCCGACATTAAATTACCCTTTATCATAGTAAGTACAGGTAATAACCGTCAGGTTACATTGACAAGCATCGTAAACTTGGTTACAGTTAGCAAAAGAAACAGGATTTTGTAAGCTTTCCTAAATATTGGTCACTGATAAAAGGCATATACAATCAGTATTAAGAATACGAAAAAAAGTTATCTTATTTTATAAACTAAACCAGATTATTTCTAAACCTATATTCTTTGCATCCAACCTCCTTCTTTTTCACTAACTTTAAACTAGTTTATACATCTGTATTCATACATAAAAATGAATGTGGGGGTTTATGTACAAACAGAGAAAGCTGTCTTGTCAGAAGTTGAAACTCTCTGAAACCCGTTGTGTGTCAAGCAGGATGTCAGGGTTAAGGGACAGAGAAGAGTGACAAGAATATGGAAAACATTAAATAGGGCATCAAATAAGAAAAGGCAAAAATCGGAGTGAAACGGAATTCACGGATGACAGAATAGACAGTTTCTACTGTATATTTAAAGTGTTACTTAAAATAAAAAAGAAAAACACGAAAAACTTCAGTAAAGCCTTAGGCCTTTCATTCTATCATAGTGACGTTACACAACAACTGGCGGAGTGTATGGCGTCGTTATCATGAAGTCAAATGTACTATGACGTTATAGTTAACAGCTCACTGCGTACAGGTAAAAGTACGGGAAATTTTTAAGATCTCTATAAAGTGCAGATATACATATGCATACATTTAAGAAATAAACAACGTTATTTAGTGAACTTGGTGTTATGAATAGCAATTGCTCTGCTGGCATATTCCATGACGCACGCTAGCGCATTATGGAAAATATGCCAGCAGAGCAATTGCTATTCATAACGCCATGTTCACTAAATAATCGTTGTTTATTACTTATATTTGCATTCTTTGATGGTGTCAAGAATATCAGAGGAAATTCTGGCTTACATAAGGATGTGGCTTGTTGTCTTCAGTAAAGAAAAACACACGGCTTTAAAATTAGTATACCTGATCATTCCACCTTTTCTCTGATAAATCACATACACTTTATAAAGTATTAGCCTCTTTTAAAACACAGTTATAAGATACAAGCTGCGCCGTCGTCACATTCTCTTCGTTTTTGTTTTGATGCAGGTGTGACGTCATCGATCAACGTTATTGAAACCCTCTGACAAAAATCAATATACAAAAAACTTATATTTATTCCTTTTACGAAACATTTCATATATATACTTCTCAGCACACTATGTAATTTTAGTAGAGCTTACACTACATGAGTGTGAAAGAGCAATTGCATTCATAGCAGAAACAGTTGCGTCTATAGTGCTATAAATGCAGTTGATGGCTAAATGTTCACAGTAGGAGAGAGAGAGCAGTGAATATGCAAATATAATTCAAAAAATTGAAATACATTACATGAGATTGTTAAGCTTTGGTTTTAACGCACAACTAAAAACTTTAAGTGTTATGTACGGAATGAAGCTTATTTTAACCTATGTAATACGATATATCATAACTTCATGCTTTATAAAGAGTACATTCTCACTAGTTTTGTTGATTATATTGCATGGATTAAAATAAGCTTCACTCCTTATCATTGAATTTCATTTTAGACATTAAGATAATTTTTTCTCTCAAAAATGGCTTCAAATTAAGCATATTTCAAAGGTAAAGTCAAGCGGAGTAAAACATTCTTGACGTAACTCATTGTGACGTAGGCAGCTTATGTTGTACGATATGAACTATTTTTTATCCAATCAGACGACTTTTACGACTGAAATTAAATTTGTGCTGTTTAATACTTCTCATTTTAGGAACATTGGTGGGCCACTTTTCTGATAGGGATTGGTGTGATTATATTTATGGGAATCTTCATAAAAGGATTATCCTATGATACTCCCAGTACCAATCCCAACACAACGGTATATAGTCAGAACCTCCCACTGCGAGAGTCTGAGCACCATCGACGCAGGAAGGTAAGCTGGACGTTAACAGGATAAGTGTTGAAGCAGAGAAGGTTATGTTATGTGATAAAGTGGGCGTAAGCAAGGTGAAGTGTGAAATTAAGCTGTAAGAACACAGAAAGAGGGGCGTCCAAATAGTAGACAGTGACAAAGGTGTGGACAAGATAGGTGTCGAAAGGGTTCATTGTAAAAAAAAAATAAAGTCATATTGAAAGAAAGAATGATTAGAATGTTGCGTGTTCGTTTGTGTGTGCAGAAATAAAAGTGTGAAAGAGATCTATTATCTGACATGGTAAACAGTGGAGATACCCGGAAAGTAAACGTATATAGTCAGATTGTATTATTTAGATAGCTGGATATATATCTGACATAGTAAATAGTATGGATACCCGGGAAGTACACGTATGAGTGAAACTGAAGGATTTCGATATTTGGGTGTGTCTCTGACACGGTAAATAGTGTAGATAACCGGGAAGTGCACTTGTATAATCACGATGTAGGATTTAGACAGCTGGATGTATATCTGACACTGTAAATAGTGTAGATAACAGGGGAGTACACGCGTATAATCAGATTGTGAGGTCTAGAAAGCTGGATGTATGACTGCGAAATGCATATGATTAAAAGCTGGCAGACATGTTCCTAGTCAATCCCTCCTTTTCGTCCTAGATTTAAAATAGCAGATTTATTGAAACATACGTGAATATCTGTCACTTGTTATACATATAATACCACACATTTTCTTCTCTCAATTAAGAGCTTTCCTGAATTCCCTCCACCATATTCAACTCCAGAGGGCTCCCGACATGGACACAGAAAAAGGCAGAAGTAAAGACGAAAAAATTAGGATATGTGAACTTAAAATAGAAGTTTATTACACACTGTATAATCTAACCACTAACATATGTTACATGTAACTGACCGATTCTTGTGATGAGATTTGAAACAATTTGTGTTGTATATTGGATTTCTACTTGACTGCTTCTACTTTGAGTGACAATTATAATTGTAAGAACTCCAGTGACTTGTTCAACATTAGATGTAAACATTTATAATAAGATAATTCCACAATGTTCAATAGAGACCTTTAGTTACAAGAGATTTGCAACGTGTACGTGTAACCTACACGTACACGTTTACTTCCTCGTCCTGAGCTAAAAATTACTTTAGTTACGCGTAACACCGGAAGTGCTTGTAGCAGACGTCAAAACCTCAGGAATGGGAGATTTGAGGTAAACATTAAACAAATTAACTTTGTAAGTCTTGAAAAAAGTTATGAAAGAGGAAAATAGAAATTATTTCTAAATTTTAGCGTATATTAAAAATTAAAAAAATACACAAAACTTAAAAAGCTAAAAGTAAAACGGGAATTCTAATTTTGGATCTTGAAAATCTACATGTTTTCATAATTTCTTACTTTTTTCAGTATTGAAAATCTACTTTTCTTGCTTGATGAGGGGCTGTT